GATCCCATAGGAAGTCCTTTTCGTTGATCGTACACCTTGTCCGAGTATATGAAATATCTACAGTCCTACAGTATACAAAAGGTCAGTATTTTTTTAAAAACTTCTTTAGGTATTTTCGTGTATTTTTGTAAAATGTTCCACTTTTCATCTATTGTTCTTAAAGCTAGATTAATCGGTATGCTGGGAAACAACGAAACCACGTCAATTTATATTAATACCTCGTCAATCTCCAAATTCATTATCTTTGTTTTAAAATCAATTGCGTCCTTAATGTTATATGGTGAATCCCGAGTCAAGTGTTATAAAATATTGAACAGATCCCTGAAGATGATTTCCGAAGGAGATCGAAATATTGGATAAATAAAAAAGGAAAAATTCAAAAATAGAAAACATAATTTTTAATGATCTTAAGCCAAGCAACTAACCAAATAAGTAAAATGAATATAACAATATACAATAACAACATTATTATTTTTTTTTTAAATTATTTCCAGAGATAGGTATTTTTACCCTGATCCCGGGAAAGTTTTTTTCTTGGGTTACGGACACGGATACCCGGGACCTTCTACACAGACTATATAGGTATGATTTGAAAGCTAAAATACCTAACCAACAAGTGGTCACCTGATATGTTTTTTTTAATTGGTTCCAGAATTATATCAAAATTATTTATTTTCCCCAAAAGTCAAAAAAGGCCCCATTTTGGGAATTCACAAAATGTATGCCAAGTTGGCACAATATGTGTCATTATCTTTCTTGTTTTTTGATCCCAAACGGTATATCCAACACTTTCGATTTTCTCTTTGCAACGTCCACTACAGGCTTCGCAAACCAAAGCTTTTCTAAATTTGATACTCCTTTTAGGTACCCGTCCGGGGCCAGGGCTTGAGATTTTTTCCTCTGGGCGTGTCCCACACGGGCTATATGAAGTTAAGTTGTTTATACTGAAAACATTATTTCAAGATTCTGAACATAATTGGCTCGTCCGGCCAAATGTCACATATTGGACATTTTGGAAAGGTTATAGTGTCAACTATTTGGCATAAATATTGTGGAGTACCAAGATGGGGCTTTTTCGAATTTGAGCGATTTATTAAAAAAAAATCTATAATTTTTATACAACTCTGGAACGTTTTAAATAACCCCATGATGTGACCACTTGATGGTATTTTTATTAGTCTATATGGTAATCTATATTTGGGCCCGTCCCCAAGAAATAAATACTTTCCCGGAATCAAGGTGCAAATAACTACCTCTGAAAAAAATAGGAGGTGGCCACGTTGGTCGGCAGGGGCGGGTGAGAGTGGCGTTGGGATCGATGGGAAAAATAATGCATTTTCCGTTGTAGAAAAATACAGGTAGACGCATCAATGCTTAAGAAAATTGATGTGTCAAACAATTTTTTTTTTCAAATATATATTTTTATATGTTTTCTTATACGACGTCATTTGGAGTTTATTATAATTCTCGTTTTTCAACAATTTTTACAAATTTAAATAATTTTAACATTTTTTTTTTGCGGAAACATTTGCGACTTCGAAGTGTGCCGGTACCAAAGTTGTACCCAGTAATGCCTTCCGTTAGTATGCAGATTCCAACCCGCATTTGGAAAAAACATCTATTTATTATGGTAAATCTGGCTAAATAAATCCGGATAAAATGTTCCATCTAAACGCTCTTAAGTCAGTTTGTTAATGTTCATCAATTAAATTGTCACTTATCAGGGTATAGCGCGTTTACATATCGAAATTCACTGAATTAACGTTTGTTCCAAATGCATTTCATCTGGTTTTAAACACTTTGTTATTGCGCCATGTCTTCAATAGTCAAATTTATTGTTATTGCTCAATTATCAGGGTTAAATCGGGTCGTGGCTTCAATAAGGTCGGCCAGTAAGCCCATCTGACAACCAACGGCCTTGTTGTGTATTTTGAAAAAAAAAATCACCACGCGATGAATAAGATTTAATTCAAAAACTCTTTATTTAATATTTAACATAACAAAGTTTTATAAAATATAAAAATGGTGATTGAACAGCTTGTACTGGTTGATGATTAAAATGGCCGTGAGTTATGCTAACAATAACTTAACAGCAATTGCTAATAGTGGAAAAGTATCGATTAACAAATTAGTACAAGCAGAGACATTTTTATTCCAAGGGAACATTTAACATTACAGGGTTACCCCCAATATTAATAAAGTAACTAATGAACAAGTAAAAAAACATTAAGTTCGGTCGGGACGAACAAATACCAATTTTCAGACAAATCCGTGAAAAAATGTGGCAAAAATCATGGAGAAATTTACCGAAACGTGGACCGATATATCTCATTTTCAATACCAACCATCCTAGATACAATACTAATAATTCTGCTAAATTTTGACGCTCTGCGTAAAATAATGTAGCCTGTATCGTGATTTCAACAGACGGACATCATATAATCGGCTTAGAATTTTATGCTGATTATGAATATATATACATTAGGTGGTCTACGACGAATATTTAAAGATGTTATAAACGGAATGACAATGTTAATATTCCCTCCTTTCCAAGGTGGAGGGTATAAAAACACCACAGGTCTGTTCCAGAGCTGCAAGAATGTAAAAGTCTTTCCATTTATCCCTTTATCAAACAAAAAAAAAAACACAAGTAAAAAAGCAGTAAGTTCGGCCGGGCCGAACTTTGAATACCTCCCATATGGAACGAATTTGGCAATTCTCAAAAACAATAAAATCCGTTAAAATGTTAGAAATACCGAATGTAGCCGTTATATCAGCGTCAATACGACGACATGGACCTGCATATGTAATTTTTTTATAAGCTACTACTATATTCAAATGCGAAACTTAGAAAAAATCGGTGAATAATGTAGCTACAGTCATCAAAATACCGATTATCGGGAGGTATCGTTATATGGGGGCTATACGAAGGCGTGGACCTGCACAAATAATTTTTCTGTCTTAGGATTTAGTATTCATTGCCAACTTCAAATACCAAATTCGAAACAATTCCGGTGAATACTGTTGCTAAAATCATCAAAATACCGAATAGATACCGTTATATGGGGGCTATACGAAGACGAGCACCTGCATAGACAATTTTCTGTCATATCCTGTAGTATCCACTACGAATTTCAAATACCAGTTTTTAAACAATTCCGGTGAATAATGTTGCTAAAACAATCAAAATACCGAATATAGGGAGGTACCGTTATATGGGGGCTATACGAAGACGTGGACCTGCACAGACAATTTACTGTCATAAGCTGTAGTATTCATTACGAACTTTAAACACCAAATTTAAAACAATTCCGGTGAAAAATGTCGCTAAAATAATCAAAATACCGAATATAGGGAGACACCGTTATATGGGGGCTATACGAAGACGTGGACCAGCACAGACAATTTTCTGTCTTAGGCTGAAGTATCCATTTCGAACTTCAAATGCCAAATTTGAAACAATTCCGGAGAATAATGTCGCTAAAATCATCATAACGTGGACTTACACGGCCCATTTACGAACTTAACCTGCCTACTGGCAAAATATGCATGTGTACAAAATGTTAGCCTTCTATCTCAATTCGTTCAAAAGATAGCGTGATAACAACAGATACACAGACAGACAGACGGACATGGCTAAATCGTCTTAGAATTTTACGCTGATCAAGTATTTCGCTGACATGAGTATTTCGAGGAGCTACAAACGGAATGACAAAATAAATATACCCTCCATAGTATGGTGGAGGGTATAAAAAATGCGGATTCTTGCAGGTACTAGAACAAAGTACAAGTTTGCCATCAAAAGACACAAGGTGATTTGAGGTTTAAAGTAAGTCAAATCACATGGTGCAAAAACTGCAAAACAAATGTTCCAGAACTGCAACAATGTAAATATTTTATACCCTCCACCATAGTATGGAGGATATATTAATTTTGTCATTCCGTCTGTAACTCCTCGAAATACTCATGTCAGACCCAACAAAGTATATATATTCTTGATCAGCGTAAAATTCTAAGACGATTTAGCCATGTCCGTCTGTCTGTCTGTGTGTCTGTCTGGCTGTTGTAATCACGCTATCTTTCGAACAAATTGAGATAGAAGGCTAAAATTTTGCACACATGTATATTTTGCCAGTAGGCAGGTTAAGTTCGTAAATGGGTCATGTAGGTCCAAGTTTTCATATAGCCCCCATATAACGGTACCTCTCGATATTCGGTATTTTGATGATTTTAGCGACATTATTCACCGGAATTGTTTCAAATTTGGCATTTGAAGTTCGTAATGGATACTACAGCCTAAGACAGAAAATTATCTGTGCAGGTCCACGTCTTCGTATAGCCCCCATATAACGGTACCCCCCGATATTCGGTATTTTGATAATTTTAGCGACATTATTTAACGGAACCGTTCCAAATTTGGTATTTGAAGTTCGTAATAGATACTGCAGCAGAAAACAGAAAATGGACCATGTAGGTCCACGTCTTCGTATAGGCCCCATATACCGTACCCCCGATATTCGGTATTTTGATGATTTTAGCGACATTATTTACCGGGATTGTTTCAAATTTCGCATTTAAAGCTCGTAATGGATACTTCAGCCCATGCCAGAAAATTGTCTGTGCAGGTCCACGTCTTCGTATAGCCCCCATATAACGGTACCCCCTATTTTCGGTATTTTGATGATTTTAGCTACATTATAAACAAATTTTTCTTCAAGTTTCGCATTTAAATGTTGTAATAACTTATGACAAAAGTTGCCTATGCAGGTATACGTCGTCGTATAGACATTCGGTATTTTTAAGATTTTAACAGAATTTTTAAAGGATTTTTTTATTTTATTTATTTATTTATTTTTTTTTTTTTTGGAAATTGCCAAATTTGTACCAAATGGTGGAGGGTATTAAAAGTTCGGCCCGGCCGAACTTACAGCTTTTTTACTTGTTAATACAAAAACCGATTTTCCCTTTATGTTATCGAAAGAAATTGAAAACTAGTAAATTATTGCAGGTTCTGGAACAGAGCATAAGTTTGTCAAAATTAGTCTTCTTGACCAAACTTATGTGCGCCTTGAACTGTTTAAAAAATTGCATGTAAACGTACTTCAAACGTCATGTAGTATATATTGCATAAAATAAAGTTTTACCCAATACATACAATCGAACTGCGCATGACAGTAATTATATGTATACTTTTTAAAGTACTCGAAGTGATTCAAATTGAAAATCTTTAATACTTCGTCTTGATAAGTGTAATTAATTATGTCCGAGACGCAACCTACGAATGTTAATGATAAAATGTCAAGTTTAATGAAGGAGGCCGAATGTTTGAAATTTAAATTGGAGGAAGAGCGTCAGAAGTTGAATGACGTTAGCTTATCATCAATAGCGGAACGCTTGGAACAAATCGCTTTTGTAAACATAAAACCTCGTAAAGTTTTAAAGGGCCATCAGGCCAAAGTATTGTGCACAGATTGGAGTCCTGATAAGCGCCATATAATTTCATCGTCACAAGATGGTCGTCTGATTATATGGGATGCATTTACAACTAATAAAGAGCATGCCGTCACGATGCCAACTACTTGGATAATGGCATGTGCATATGCTCCTTCCGGAAATTATGTAGCTTGTGGAGGGTTAGATAATAAAGTTACAGTTTACCCTATAACTTCAGATGAAGAAATGGCAGTGAAGAAAAGGACAGTGGGTACTCATACAAGCTATATGTCGTGTTGTATATATCCCAATTCTGATCAGCAAATTCTAACTGGGAGTGGTGACTCTACTTGTGCACTATGGGATGTTGAATCCGGCCAACTTTTGCAAAGCTTTCACGGTCATTCGGGCGATGTCATGGCAATTGACCTAGCTCCAAATGAAACGGGAAATACATTTGTTTCAGGAAGTTGCGACAGAATGGCATTTATTTGGGATATGAGATCTGGACAGGTGGTTCAATCCTTTGAGGGTCACCAATCAGATGTTAATAGTGTGAAATTCCACCCTAGTGGTGATGCTATCGCTACTGGTTCCGACGATAGCAGTTGCAGATTGTTTGATATGCGGGCCGACCGTGAGGTTGCTGTCTTCTCTAAAGAAAGCATTATATTTGGGGTAAATTCGGTTGATTTCTCAGTAAGTGGCCGTTTGTTATTTGCCGGCTACAATGATTACACTGTTAACTTGTGGGATACATTGAAATCGGAACGAATTTGCTTGTTATACGGTCATGAGAACAAGGTATCCTGTGTTCAAGTTTCACCTGATGGAACGGCTCTTTCAACTGGTAGCTGGGATTACACAATTCGAGTTTGGGCTTAAAGAAATACATTATCTTATAAAATAAAAATGGTTATCTCCTATATAATATTTAAATTTGATTATATGTAGGCATATAAGATTTAGTAATAAGACACCAATAAACAATACCAATTTTAAATGTTGCAAATGTTGAATAGCTTGTTTTATTATGGAGAATATTATTTTTGGAGCAAGTTGAGTTCAGGGACTATGCTCGGATTATTTTGAAAATTTTACCGCTGGTGGGTATTTTTTACCTGATTAAGGAAAATTATTTTTTTCGTTACCCGACTATTTGACCCGAAAGTTCGAAGTTTTTCTAAACATTTTAATTGTTGTTGGTAGCCGGCCTTTGATCGGGGCTTGAGATTGTCTCCTCTGGGGTATGTCCAACACCGGCTACGCGATCCATAGTTTTTCTAAACCTTATAATTTTTGTAAGTAGCCGGTCTTCGGCCGGGGCTTGAGATTTTCTCCTCTGCGGTATGTCAAACATAGGCTACGCGATCCATAGTTTTTCTAAACATTATAATTTTTGTAAGTAGACGGGATTCGACTTTAACGTTAATATCTTCGGAACTACAAAGATATAAAGGTTAGATACATAATAGTGGAGAAAATCTCAATTTCATGATTTGCAATACTAATATCTTCGGAATTACAGGAGATATCAATACCTATGGTAACATTTTGAAAAGGGCAGAGTGTAGGCTACAATGTAGTATGCAATTTCAAATACACCACAATGGGAAATTTCGACTTTTAATGGGTTTTCAAAAAGTTCCGGTACAAGAATACCAATTTTTGTATTACTCGGGAACCGATTAAAACCAACCTATCATATCACCACTTCTTACAAAGATATTTCCACAAGCTTTCAAATAATGTCCATTTTGTAGAACCGGATAAAACCCTGATTTTTTAACCGGGTATTTCTCCCACAAAAAATTACTTCGCCGTAACCTAGTTAAAAAGATCTACACGTGGTAAAAATATCAGGTCAATCCGAGCATAGCCCCTTAACTCAACTGAAGCATCCTAATCACAGCGACATGCATTTTTTTGGGGAGGAAATCAGTACTTCCCGATATATAGAGTTCCAAAATACCCAGTTTTTACTTAGCTATATCTATAAAACATTTTCGGGAGGTGGGTCCATACTTCACGAAATATAGGGTTCCAAAAAAAAGGGTTTGAGATTTTCTCATGCTGGATATGTCCAACACCTGCTTCGCGTACCAAAGCTTTTCAAAATAGCCGCACTCGGCCGGGATTGAGATTTTCTCCTATGAGGAAAGTCTAACATTGGCTTCGCGATCCAGACCTTTTTAAAGTAGCCGGCCTTCCGCCTGGGCTTGAGATTTTCTCCTCTGGGAACTCGAACTAAAGTTTATTTAAATTTATTATTTTTTAAATAACCGATAAAATATAGGGGAGGTACTTTTTAAAAATTTAAACTCAATTTTTCGGGAAGTGTAACCACATCTTTTGTTGCAATCAGGGTACAAAACCTACCTTGGGTAACAAAAGACCTACCTTCGATAAAAATTTCAGAATTTTCCGCCAGCTGGAGCTAAACTCAATTTAAGTCTATCCCTCTTTAGAAAATATATCAGTTACGATAACCAGTGCTTCTAATGCGGTTAACTTGAAATCTTATGGCGACGAATTTATAAATACGAAAAATTTGTTTACGAGATGCCGGTAATATCAATATATTTGATACGAACAATTAATCTCTGTGTACATGATTTCAATAGTGAATAATAAGGGAGTCTTGCTTGTTGACATCAAAAAGTGCCGTGGTACAGTTCTATTACTTCTAAAACAAGATTAGCGTTCTGTTAGTAAGCCAACAGGGATATCGGAAGTGGCACAACTTTTGCTTGTTTCCAACTTTCGGGGAATATTGATTTTGTCAGAACGGTGTTGAATGTATATGTTTTATAAGGAAACAGTATTGGCAGCATTATTCTTATTAGTTTGGGGTTTAACCATCAATATCAGTATTGGAACGGGTGTGAGCTTTCTGGCCAATACCAATCCCACGAATTTGTCTCCATTTACTTTTACTATCTACAGAACATTTATTGAAAATATTATATCTATGGGACTGTTTGTAGTGTTGTGGAAATGAGTTGGATATGAGATATTGAGAGGATATAAGTCAAGATATAAGTAGATTGTAGTTAAAGTCACCAGCTATGATAGTTCATTCAGTAAAACGGTCATATGTTTGTTGTTATTCGCCTCCAACAAGCATTTTTTGGGAGCAGACTAATACAACCTCCAGAAATAGGTATTTTGTTGCCCTAGAGTAGTTAGGCTTCAATTTTATTTTACATTTAATGCCATATTTAACGTATATACATGCGCCTCCTGCGAATGGCAATGCACGAAAAAGTGTGTAACCAGGTAGATTATAAATTCCATCTTGAACGTCACATTGGAACCACGATTCGTAGACGCAGATTATGTCAACACCTGACAAATCATAAATGTGGCGAAATTCATCAAGTTTATTGTTAAGACTTTGGGCATTTATATGTACCAACTTGAATCCTGCCTTTTGTTTAGCAAAAATTCGAATCATACTGAAAAGTTCGACTTTGGAAGTAAACAACTTCTCCATAGACTCAATTCGTATTGTGATCTCCCTATCAACACTTTTCACATATACAAGCCCGCGTATTATGAATGCAGTCGACAACATATTTTTCTTTTTTAGTGAAATTACAGGTTGCAAAATTTTGTAGTTTTTATTGGTTAAGTCTTCGTTTACGTAGAAAGAAACATCGGATTCAAAACCAAGTAATCGCAGAAAAAGTTGTGTTTTGTTTTGTCTCTTGAATATGTTCACAGCCTTGAGGATATTGCTTCTCTCGTAAGGAGAATAAATCTTTATTTATTTACGACGCAGCTATGAACACGACCGTCTCCATCAAACACTTCTTATTCTTTTTATTAATTTCTCTTAAACTATATATTTTCCAGGCTGATGTGCTAGCACGTGGCAAGGTGGTTCATTGTTCATCATCATAAGATAAAGTTCAAAATATAGAAGACACAAAATGGTTATTTCTAAGAAAAGGAAATAAACTAATAACATAATGGTAACAGCATCAAGGTTAAATATCAAGGTTAACACTACATGACCAAGCCAAAAGATTTTGCCATCTTGTCTTGAAATGAATCATAAGAGACACATCAACAATAATAAACGTATACAAGAAACAGACATATTAATGTAAAAGAAGACAGCGACAACACCGCTTCAATATTCCATTAAAATAGCTTAGCACTTGAAAAAGCTGCGAAAAAAAAAACGAGTAAAATTTCCAGTAGAATAAGGAAATAAAATTGTTTTACTTACACTAAATAACAATCAATGATATTAAAATACACAACATTGTTGGGTATACACTTAAGCCAGAATAGGCCTGTTGTGGACTCTAGTCTAAAGGGTTTTTTGAAGAAGGCGGCAGTTTACAGTGGTGGACGTACGGTTCGGCTCTGTACCCTTCGATGGCTGTCGATTCGGCAGTAGTCGGATATGTGACTTGGCCCTGTGGCAATCGGATCGGTTCTTCACTACTCGAATTACGGTCGGATCTGGTAATCGGGTGGCCGTCAGGTCGAGGAAATCGATTAGCTGTCGGTTCGGAAGTTTTCGTGTATGTGGCTTGCCTTGCACTAATTGGATTATGGCCACCTCGGTGTAATCGGGTAGCTGTTGGTTCGGCAGACGTCGGGTTGGTGACTGTGCTCTGCACAATTCAAATTTGCTGTGAGGAAAGTGATTGGTTAGTGGGAGCTGGCTAAGAGCATTGAGCTGGCTGTGAGCTTGAGCGTCCTAAGCGGAGCGTCCTAAGCGCTGAGAGCTCACTAAGGGCTGGGAGCTTGTTAAAAGCTGGGAGCGTGCTAAGCGCTGACAGCTCACTAAGAGCTGGGAGATTGTTAGAAGCTGGGAGCTTGTTAAGAAGCTGCGAGCGTGCTAAGCGCTGAGAGCTTACTAAGAGCTGGATCGAATCGTGGCTAACTAGTAACGAGACTGCGGACGAGCCACAAGCCTTTTCGTACTCTGTCGGCTATTGATCGTCCACTCTCGTTTGATTTAGGAAAATATATACTTTTGTAGTCACGCGAAGTAAATGAGAATTATTGTCAGATAGGATAGTCGTTAAATGCAATGAAGCTAACATTTAACATGACAAGTGGGACATATTATGTATGGGGTATATTCAAAATGTGTAAGGGTTGCATGAAACGGTCACGTTACATCTCCTTACTCGCTTTGTAGACAAAAAGGATTCCCCTGAACTAACCCCGGGCACATTTCAGCTGAAATGTTTTTTTCCCGTTGTTGCCTGAGTTTTGGCCAACACCCGGAAAACCTATCACAGGTGCATTTAACTTACCAAATGGCAAGCCCGTGTAAACAACTGCAGTTTATTTTTTTAACTCATTATTATTATTTTTTATTTTATTTATTAAATGTACATTTTCTTTCTATAATTCATACCTTTTTTCCATATTTAATCAAAAAGAATTTTAAACAAATTTTATATTTTCAAAAAGTTATGAATATTTAAAGATAATAGTTGTAGTAAATGAAAAATCAATACATAAAAATGATTAAAATTACGCAAATTAAATTCGGTAAGTTAAAATGAAAACTGTCGGAAAACAGCACGATTTAGGTTTAGATAAACTTATAAGAATATAATGTTATGGCAACTCGTTTTTTGACTCGTTTCGTGGGTCATATGTGATTTACCGTTATACTTAATATAAACAAAAATCATAAAACGAAGTTATTAAAAACTTTCAAGTTTAGTGGAGTGTACAAAGAAAACACGAAAAGACACTTTTTTAAAATTTTTATATATTATGTTTGCAAGTGTATCGAATTTAAAAAATTAAGTATTTTGTCCCCCTTGTTCCCCCTTTCATTTATTCCTTTATTTTTCAGTGTTAGTACAGGTGCAAATCCGAGAATTTTTTAATATTTGGCTTACGTATCGTACTCTAAGTGCTGCCCAGCGAGAAGTAATTTCGTATTTAGAAGACAAGAAGAAGCTGTAATATTGATTTTGTCAGAACGGTGTTGAATGTATATGTTTCATAAGGAAACAGTATTGGCAGCATTATTCTTATTAGTTTGGGGTTTAACCATAAATATCAGTATTGGAACGGAATCCCACGAATTTGTTTCCATTTACTTTTACTATCTACAGAACCTTTATTGATTTGAAAATATTATATCTATGAGACTTTTTGTAGTGTTGTGGAAATGAGTTGGATATGAGATATTGAGAGGATATAAGCCAATCATTCCAAAGTAGCCAGATATAGTTGTGTTTCCATTAGTAGGTTGTAGTTAAAGTCACCAACTATGATAGAACTATATTCAGTAAAACGGTTATATGTTTGTTTTTATTCGCCTCCAATAAGCATTTTTTGGGAGCAGACTAATACAACCTCCAGAAATAGGTATTTTGTTGCCTTAGAGTAGTTAGGCTTCAATTTTATTTTATATTTAATGCCATATTTAACGTATATACAGCGAATGGCAATCGGTCTGCACGAAAAATTGTGTACCAGGTAGATTATAAATTCCATCTTGAACGTCATATTGGAACCACGATTCGTAGACGCAGATTATGTCAACACCTGAAAATCATAAATGTGGCGAAATTCATCAAATTTATTGTTGAGACTTTGGGCATTTATATGTACTAACTTGAATCCTGGGTATTTATATGTACCAACTTTTTTAACAAGAATTCGAATCATACTAAAAAGTTTGTCTTTGGAAGTAAACATATTGTCACTCATCTTATGAAAATGGCAACATCAATTGTTGTGGTGTGGTTGGCAATGCACAGATATCGGAGATGGCAACGCTGCAAACAGATGCGAATAGAAGTGACACTTAATTGACATTATTAGCAACAGCTGAGTGAGCATTAGTAGAATGGAAATATGAACGAAAGTGGTTATTTAACTTCTCTATAGACTCAATTCGTATTGTGATCTCCCTATCAACACTTTTCACATATACAAGCCCGCGTAATGTGGACGCAATCGACAACATATTTTTCTTTTTTAGTGAAATCACAGGTTGCAAAATGTTGTAGTTTTTATTGGTTAAGTCTTCGTTTACGTAAAAAGAAACATCGGATTCAGAGCCAAGTAATCGCAGAAAAAGCTGTGTTTTTTCTCTTGAATATGTTCACAGCCTTGAGAATATTGATAATGAAGCTGTAGGCGGTGTAATATGACACACATAAATGTTGAAATATAGCGAGTAAATCTTCGTTTTGACAATAAGGTAAGGTAATTAGTGGACACCTTAAGATCCATATGTTTTTCGATTTATTCTTTTAATGTATATCATATTTCCATGCTTTGCATTTTTTTGTTTCTTAATTTCCAACAAGTTTATTCTATTATTTATTTCTTGAATCATAACAGAGAGTGATGACAATTTCTTATTTATGTCTGTTAAAGCTTCTTTTACACCCTCTTTACACAATCCTTTATTATATTATTCATTTTGTCTAGAAAATTTTGCTTCTATTAATTTGAGAATTTTTGGCAATATGTTTTGAGATGAGATAAGTGTATCAATGACTCGGGACTTTGTTGTTGTGGGAGTAGAAAACATGTTGCGAGATTGATTTATTTTATTTGGCACCATAATTGTTATTGTGAGCACAATTGGTTTACTTCGTGTAATGATTGTTATTAATTAAAAAAAAAAAACTGGGGAAGAATGTTTGATTTTTTTCTGAATTTGTAATGAAAAAGCGCGTAAATATATGTAAACTTTGTCATACGTCGATCTTTATTTATTTAAATATTTGTTATTTAATACGAAGCAGCTATGAACACGACCGTCTCCATCAAACACTTCTTACTTTTTTTATTAATTTGTCTTAAATTATCAGCCTGTTCCATGATCTCGAAAGAAAATTTGTGCGAACGAAGGCTACTCACTCACTTTCGTATAAGAATGCGTTCCACTAACTTTCGTTCTTTCTTTCGCATAGCCTTACGTGATTCAGTGTTGCTAAATATTTTTTTGGAAAAATTAATCGCGAAATAAGGCAAAAAAGCGCCAAATGTCTAATTTAAACGCGAAAAAGCAGCAATGGCTCTGTCTCAACTGACATTTCAGTTGTAAACAAACAAATTGTAAATAAACAAACAAAATAAAAACTCTAGTGATTGTGTTCAAACTATTTGTGCTCTTAGAAAATAAAAAAAGAATATTTCCGTAGCCCTATTTTTTATGGATGATGTGGAGGAGGTTCAAAATGTGCCACGGAGGCATTTAAGAGATGCTTCGAATTTATTTGAAGTAAGTATGATTGTATTTTTACATTTTTGAAATAATAAATAATAATAATAATAATTTTTTCAAGGTTTGTGGCCAATTTTCGTGTGTCGAAGGAAGTTTTCGGGCTCTTTTGGATATGATGGAAGAGAAGTGGGTGCCCGGTTGCAGAACTACCCAAATCCGCCCCGATTTAAAACTTCTTCTGTTGCTTCCAAAAATTGGCACTCCTCTGGCGAACACAGGATTCTCCTCCATATACTAGTGCCCGCAGCTGTGTAGTTGATGATTTTTTCGTGCTGGAATTGAGAAAATAAAAAAAATATATATTTGTTGTTCACATATTAAATTGCATTTATTATTTTTACTTACATTTTTGTTTCCATTTTCAATCAAGCAATGTTTATGTTAAAACAATTTTCCTTAATTGTTATTATACGATAGCAAACAAACAAGTGACTGATTTTGACATTTGTGTTCGCATGCGTACGAAAGAAAAAAGATAGTGGAACGCAAAATTACACTGAAATGCTTACGTTTTCGTTCGCTTTGATTTTCGTGCAAATTTTCGTTCTGATGGATTTTAGTGGAACGGAAATCAGCTGTTTGTCGTGTAAAAGTTGTGCGAACGTGTTCTTTCGATATCGTGGAACTGGCTGTATATCTTTTCCAGGCTGGTGTGCTAGCACGTGGCAAGTTGGTTCATAGCCATCATCATAAGATAAAGTTCAAAATATAAAAGACACAAAATGGTTATTTCTAAGAAAAGGAAATAAACTAATAACAGAATGGTAACAGCATCAAGGTTAAATATCAAGGTTAACACTACATGACCAAGCCAAAAGATTTTGCCATCTTGTCTTGAAATGAATCATAAGAGATACATCAACAATAATAAACGTATGCAAGAAACAGACATATTAATGTAAAAGAAGACAACGACAACACCGCTTCAATATTCCATTAAAATAGCTTAGCACTTGAAAAAGCTGTGAAAAAAACTAAGATAATTTCCAGTAGAATCAGGAAATAAAATTGTTTTACTTACACTAAATAACAATCAATGATATTAAAATACACAACATTGTTGGGTATACACTTAAGACAGAATAGGCCTGTTGTGGACTCTAGTCTAAAGGGTTTTTTGAAGAAGACGGCAGTTTACGGTCTGATTTATTTGAAATTTTTGAAATTTCTTAACTGTTTTATATCAATTAGGTTGTAGGCCCAGGTGCCCCGTGAGATTGCCTGTTACCTTACTGATCTCCTTCTTACCTAGTCATAAAAGGTTCTTCGTCTTTACCTCATTGGGATCGCCCTATAGGATTTTGGTGGTTTTCCCTACGCCCTCATTGTTCTACGTTTATTTTAACTAATTCCCTGTCTAGCTCGTTATCTCTAACTCCCGTATGACCTGGTACCCATAAAATGCGTACAAAGCCGAGTTGAGAGTAGTTGTTGATTGAATTTATACATTCCAATACAGTTTTTGAAGTTGATGTTATAGCTTTAATAGCTGTCTTATTGTCCGTTAGGACGTTAACGGTAGCCGGCCTCGTGTTAGCATTAATTCAGTTCAGACACTTTGCTTGAAGGATCGTATTGAAGGATCGGAAAGAGATTTTGGTATTTGGTTCTTCAATAAAAAGTTATAACGAGCGGTTTTAACTAAGGCTGAGATAAGCTCAGTCGCTGGCCTAAGGACCTACAAACCTTAGGTGAAACACGAGTGCTTATAATTTCAATATTTATTCGGCTCTGTACCCTTGGATGGCTGTCGATTCGGCAGTAGTCGGATATGTGACTTGGCTCTGTGGCAAACGGCTCGGTTCTTCACTACTCGAATTACGGTCGGATCTGGTAATCGGGTGGCCGTCGGGTCGAGGAAATCGAGTAGTTGTCGGTTCGGAAGTTTTCTTGTATGTGGCTTACGTTGCGCCAGTCGATTTATGGTCGCCTCGGCGTAATCGGGTTGCTGTCGGGTCGGGGTAATCAGGTAGCTGTAGGTTCGACAGACGTCGGGTTGATGAATGTGCTCTGCACAATTCGACTTTGTTGTGAGGAAAGTGATCGGTTAGTGGGAGCTGGCTAAGAG